TAGTAATTCGCCATGTTATTTTGCGCAACGCGATGATTGGCTGTGTATGTGATGTGCGGTAAAGCGGCCGCAACGGTCTTGTTCATAAATAGTGTGGCGATTAGTCGAGTAAATAGGGCAGTTCCTCGCTTAATTTAGTGGCAAAATATGTGTCAAGTGACACGCCAATGACCCCACCAATTCTCTATATTATATTTCATGCACTATAGGACTTTGAACACAAAGGTCTGTCGATATTTTCTAAATGCCTGCATTGCATTTGTGACGTTCCAGTACCTGTTCTTGTTATTTATGACTGCTTCCTGTTCGTACTACAGAGCGAAGACGCACTCACTCCATGTAGCCTGCCTTCTGTTGTGTTCCATGGAAAAGACAGAACTTTACGAACACCTATATATCCATGTAGAGTGGACGAAACTCTTTGGAGCGGACAACACCCCTGAAGCCTTAGAAGCTCTGATGGCAGCGTTCTTCTTGTTCACTATCAAGTATCCCAAAGGTGCCTCAATGCAGCATCTGTCATTAAAAGGTCATTACGAAACTGAAGCCGCCTGCCATCATGTTCATAAACTAGTACAGGGATTGTGTATCAAAAACATTCTAGCCAGTTTAGCAGTTTTCCCCACTAACTTTAGCTGTGTTGAAAGTTCTCTAATAGGTAACGTGTTTTTCCCCTTCTTTTTCTAGAGGCGGCTGATTTTCTTCTTTTTTTTTCTTTGAGGGGGGGGGGATTTTTAGTCTTAATTTTTGGCTTAGGTCCTATGTAAGGTAGAGCGATAGGGTAAAGTCCTCTTCTTACTCGTAGCAAAGTTAAAAAAGAAACCCTGTTACCACTGATTCCAGAGTCGTTTCCATACTTGCCGGCGCAATCTACATGCTTTGCAGAAAGTTTCTTCCTGAAATAGAGGCATCTAACTCGTCTGATGGTATACGTAACTTTCAGTAACCAGGTCACACAAATCTGTTTTTTTTAGCTTTTTCTTTTTCTGAAGTGGCTGTAGCACTCGAACATGACTACTGGAAGTTACAAGTTCTCTCGGCTACCCAGATACCGCTGCTGCAGAACAGAACTATGTGCGAAACATGCGGATAACGTCGGACGGTATACCAGCACCCCTAGAATCGACAGCAACAGATCACTCGGATGTACATTGCTCACACGAAATCGCGATGAAGCAGAGGAGATCTTTCTGTGAACAAAAGGGAACGTCTCCGTCGAAAAAAAAAAAGAAACAGGATGGGTTATTGATGACATGGGCTACCAAAAGCGTCGCTTGGCTGGGCCTTCAAAGGTTAGCCAAACGCTCACTGTAATGCCCTTTGTTTTACATAGTTCTGCTTTCATCAACGTAAATAAGAACAATGTCTGACTCAACTTTTATGGTGTTATATTAAAATTTTATGACCCAAGCTTCTATTGTGCTTTTTGTACACACCGTCGAAATTGGCCACTGATAATAAGTTGCCGAGATCACAGCTCGCGACGTAACAGCGAGGCAAATGCTGGTCGTGATGGCACGAACGGAAACCATAAGAGGCCGCCACCGTTTCATTTAGGTGCTAATATCTGTCGAAAAAATAGTTTTATTTTTATTTTATTAACTTACCGTATTTTAACTAATAAATCAATCAATTGCATTACAGTGTCATTCGTGCTTCTAGATATAGCGGTATTTTATTGTTGATTTTTTGAAATGTGATCATAAAAATGTATTTTCAGTGAGAAACCAAAGCTTGACTGTGGTGTTTGTGTACGAAATATTGCTGCGTGTTTGTTTAATATGAGTATTTTTTTTCGTGCACCTTTCCTTTGCAGCGCAACACATGTAGTACTGTAAAAAACGTTTTTGGATCAAAGAACCATGGGTGTTCTTCCGAATATCCGGCCACCCTTGACTGACAGGCATGTACCTCGAAAAAAATGTATCTTTTGTTTCGAAGGAAAGCGGAAGTATATGCATGATGCTTTCGATGTTGTTACTTTTTTTATATAGCCATAGATTCCTTTGTTGACTCAAACTTTCTTTAGAAAGCAAACATAAACAGCCTTCCAGATAATTGAGCCGCACATGTCTCTGAATATTACTTCTATCTGTAGAGGGCATTGCAACAATAAAAAAACGGACCTTTACAAATGTATGTAATGCGATATTAGAGCGCAGCTTTTCATGTATTTTGATTTCCCGATATACAGGGCTAAACAATTTGAGAAAGATATATAAATGTACAAATATCGATCCTCCTCACATACTGGTTCTGCGCCCTCCTCCTCTTCCGTGCCCTCTTCCTTTTCGTACCCTCGTTCTCCGTATCCTCCCCTCCTCCTCTTGGGCACCCTCCCCTCCTCCTCCTCCGTGCACTCCCCTCCTCTTCCTTCCTACCCTCATCTTTTCCTCCGTTTCCTCTCCTCCTCCTCCTCCCACACAGCTTCCCCGCTAAATTTAGGCGCAGAATTGACGCCACATGACATCGACACCAATTCAATTTTCCCGCTGAAGTGAGCGGGGAAAACGACAGCAAGTGGCTTCGTGTCACGTCAGCCTTGAACAAGTTCAATTTCTCCTCTAGATTTAGCGGAAAAATTTACGTCACGTGACCTCGACACCAATTTGTTTCCCCGCTAAATTTAGCGGGGAAATTGAATTGGTGTATAGGTCTTTGACTTCCCATAATGCAACACTGCGCATTCAGTTTCCCCTCTACATTTAGCGGTAAAACTGTCGTCACATGACCTCACTACCAATTCAGTTTCTCCGCTAAATTTAGCGGGTAAACTCTGACATCCCATAATGCAACAGGCGTGGTTACTCCGACTGCGACACCGCGACAGTTACGCCGACGCCGCTCAGGGCGGAAACGGGTGACTGCGAGCTGTGCTCTAAAACTTGATATATGTTATGTGTAGCTCAAGCCCTCTCCAATGCTATATATATTTGCTTTCTAAAAAAGTTAATACGACAAAGAAATGTAGGATCCTCTTAAGAAGAGAGACAACATTGTTTTATTAGCTGTGACGCTTCGGGCACACAAATTATAAAGATGCAAGAATTTAAAAACACATATATCAAAGGTACAATGCAGTAACTTCAAATTTGCTCACAAAAAGGTGCTTTGCTGCAAAACAGCCATCCAAATATGGGAGTTATAGACATTGGATAAAGGGCCGGTTACACCTATATATGTGTTTTGAAGTTTGCCGTGTATCTTTTTCGGATTCAGTATGTTGCCGAAACGTATTATCCCGGAAATCTACTAACTGACATATCAGTATCGAAATTGTATTCCATATACTGGCATTCCGAAAATAAATAGCCGTTTATTAAATGCTTCCATTTTGAAGAGAACCAATATTTATTGTTTTTTTATATTTACAGGTCTCTTAATAAATGTTTGTTTTCTTGTGTGTGCCTGGCTGCTTTTCGAGTCTCGTTGTTCTATACCCAATGTTTGTTTATTGTAGAGTGCGCGTCCTCAAATTTTGTGGGCCTTTCCACTACCCCAGCGTTGAAAAAGAGGGTGGCTTTTGCAAGGTGCAGTCGATGAAAGTTTCCAAAACGTAGGGCATGACGAGTTTCGAGCATTTTTTTTTATCGTTCTAAATGTAATTAGATTGCGGCCTGATCCCTAGCAGCACACTTCCTCGGGTCATACTTAAACCCGTTTGGCGCAAGCCTGGAACAAGGTTGAGCCAAGTTGGCTCCAGCTCGCGCCAGTCTGCCCCAAGCCTGGGCCGAGAAAGTGGGCTACTTGGAATACGATAATAATCGCCGAAGATTAAATTCTAAATCAAGTGACGTCAACATATTAAGCTACGCTCCGCGTTTCTTAGGATTTTAATGACTATATAGTTTAAGAATAGTTCAACACTAGTAATAGACGCCAAGCTTTTATTTTCTTTCACGCGTATTTTACTTATAGTAACATTTTATGTGCCCTTTATGCTACCACTCAATACTTGTCGTAATAGACTCGAAGATTGTTTTAGAGGGCAGCACTTAGGCGTCCGTTTCCGGCTTGAGCGGCGTCGGCGTAACATTGAGGTCACGTAAGCCCCCCCCCCCCCCCCCCCCCCGAGGTCACGTGACATCTTCCTCAAATCACGTGACCCCCCTTCCCTGAGGTAACGTGACCTCAGGGAGTCACCTTTCCCCCAGTACCCTTCCATCCTATCCCTCAGTGCCCTGCCATCGTCCTCCACAAGAGCTGCGCTCTAATCCGGTGTTGCAGGGAGTTGTAAACGGCTTTCATTTTTTTATTTCATTTTTCATATTGAGTCCCGCCTTCAGAGGAGGAAGTCGATTCTTCTGGTTTCTACCCTAAAAGCATGGTACTTACTTTGAGTAGAAGAAGTTGTTTGTACTTATGAACGCTCTTATAAACACAAAAATGCGTCACTTAAAATGCCCGTTGCCCATAAAGCTTCCTCGTAATTCATTAATATAAATTAGCCTCCTTAAGTACAATTATTTTTCACTTTAATCATTGTGACGAGTCTTATAGAACTTAACCATTACAATAAAACACATTTCTCAACTCCCAGATGGATGTTAATTAAGTGTGCAAAAAATCACCGTAATTCAACGACGCGTAGAGAGCGGCAGTGGCTTCTATCATCTTCCATCACCACTGCAACTTACAACCAATATACAGTAGCGCTTAGCAAGCCAACTAGCTCAACGCATCAAAAATTTCGATTTGTTCAACGGTATTTTCCTCTCCTACGGCGACCTTAAAAAAATAAGAAATGGCAAACCACATTGCAAGCCTCCGGACATATCGAGGTAACGAACACCATTATGATGTTGGGAGTAATTATTTTATGACAGTTCAAAAATTATTAAGTGATTGAAAACTAATATTGAAGCTTTTTAGGTATGAAATTGTTTTTTCAGGAACGAAAAGAAATGAAATTGCTCTGAGTATTGTGTCGTCCGTCTCCCTTTTTTTCCCCTTCTTCTGGTTTACTATGGCGATCTTAAACCGACTCGCTGTGCTCTCGCTTTAGCTTCAAAGAAATTTCTGTTTATTTCGTATCTTTGATTATCTGGTTAACAGCAGAGACAAAGTCGATGTCCGACTGAGTCAGTTTGGTGGCTGGAAGAAGGCTATCTCCCGCCAGCCTTTGGGCAACGTCTTCAAGGACATCGCCAGCAGATCCCACTATGTCCCCCAATTTTTCAAAAGCCACGTGTCCTTTTCTAGAGAACCCTCTGGCGGAAAACGCAGAGATGGTCTTTGCTGTTAGCTTCGCCACTCGTGCTTGAAGAGTGTTGTTTCCTAGAGTGGATATATTGAGCACCCACTGAACAGCCTTAGCCTTCTTGAATGTACCTATTCCGAATCTAGGTCCCTGAAAATAGAAACATGTCGTTACTATTAACAACCCTGGATCTGTTAGTTTAGCGTCGCATGAGACTACAAAAAACAATATCTTATCAGAGACGAAAGGTGGACAAGAAAGAAACAAACACACATGGTAAAAGCACACAGACTGGGAAAAAGGACGGACGGACCAACAAAGAGGTCTTAATTTGAGACCTTTGTGTCTATCCGCGATTTCTTTTTCACCGTCTCGGGGTGTTCTTACTATGTTCAACTAACACCAGCTCGTTGGCGCCCTAACCTTCTGTTCAAACACACACGTCTGTGTTTTTCTCTTTCTTTTCGTCTTTCGTCTCAGGTTTAAATTATGTGTAACTTTAACCACCTCGCCTCCTTATTAAGTTTGTCTACACTCTATCATAATGTTTTGTTAATAACTATGTAGTTTAATACCCCTAATGAAAAAAATTAATTAATCAATGTGTCTAATAAACATATGAGAGTGTCTAAGATCACATTAGAACTTACATATGTTTTATATACTCTACCCCATCCATATCTTATACAAGTTCTGATATGTTTGGTGAAAAAACCGTGTATAAACACTTTGTTTTTCAATAGGGTATTTCTCTTAAAGGGCACCGCGCTGCTTCTCCGAAGCTCCCGCCATGACTCCGCCCGTCGCTGAACCATGGACTACCGTGCGTTATTCTACAAAACCAACGAAAAGTCACCTCACCATCGTCATAAAGCTGACCGACGGGGTTTCCCTATCGGAACTCCAGTCTACCCACCTCACCGATGCCGTAACCGCCGCCGCCCACCTTACGCCATCGGAAGCGAAAGAGACGTATTTCAAAATCCGTGACGTGCAAAACGTCCTCATCGCCGACACCTACCGACCCTCGGCCCAGGAAAAGCTCCTGCAGACCACGAAACTCACCATTGCAAATCGCGACTACGCCGTTACCAGCTACCCCTCGGCCCCCACCAACTCCTGCAAGGGCGTCATCCACGGCCTCGCGTCTCTCACCGCCCCCGACGAGCTCATCGCCAACATCGAATCCAATGTCCCAGTACTCACCGCTCGCATGATGGGCAAGACCGAAACGGTACTCATCACCTTCGAAGGCACATACGTGCCCTATACTATATACTACCGCCGCCTCCGATTCCGGTGCCACCCACACAAGCCAAAATCTCAACAATGCCAAAACTGCCTCCAACTCGGCCACCGCGCGGAAGTCTGCCCCAAGAAAGGCAAGCTTACAGTATGCGACATCTGTTACCAGGAAAACATGACCTCGGACACCCTTCACAACTGCGTTCCTTACTGCGTCATTTGTAAAGAAGAGCACGCCTCCAAGGACCCGAACTGCCCCGCCAAAAAGCAAGCCGATGCGCAAGCCACTCTCACTGCCTACAAACGGCGAGTACAGCAGCGTCCCAAGGCAACAACCATCCCCAACACACTGCGCACCCCTCCTCCACCACCAAGACCGAAGGGTGGGAAAGCCTTGACCACTCCCAACCCGCCCCACCAACCAGCACCTCCTTCCGACAAGGTGCCCACTACCAACTCCAGACAGGAGAATTATCGCCTACCGCCCATCCCACGAGGCTCAACTCAGCAACATCGCAAGACCCGGAGTCTCAGCCGCAACAACAAGGTGAGAGAGCCACTCCGTTCCACATTACACCCGACACACGCATCCCGACCCAAATCCATACCCCAAGCCATTACTGCATCCGACACGTACAAACAAGCGCTTCTCGCTGCCAAGCGCACACCAACCACCCCAAACACAGTACAAGCGATAAACGTAGCACCAGAAAATCAACACATGGACACTTTACCTCCCCCCTCTCAACCCGTCACTCCCCAGGTCTCCATCGAACTCAAGCAAATCATGCTCGTTCTGAAAAACATTCAGGAGCGCCTGGCCGCTTTCGAGCAGGATGTAGCAGAACTGAAAGCACAGGACCCTCAGCACCCAAAACGAAAAGCAGACGACCCCTACAACCCTGAAAGCAAAATCCCCCGTCAAAATATCGACACCTCATCAACTGATGACGAAACCAATATCTAAACAATCTATACACATCCTACAATGGAACTGCCGCAGCCTACAACGTAAACGAGCCAGTCTCACCCAATACCTCAACACGCTAGATCGCAAACCTGACGTCATCCTTCTTCAGGACACGCAGGGCACTCACAACCTTCCACAATACACACCCTACACCCAACCCAGCATCACTCAAACCGACCGCAGGCAAAACACATATACCCCCACACTCGTCACGACATACATCTCTAAGGAACACCCGTCAATACAACTCAACACAACAGACATCAACACCGCTCACCAAGAGCACGTCATCATCACCCTTCAACCCCGCAACTGCCCCAATCCCATCACAATCGTCAACGCGTACTGGCGACCGGGCCGCAAGGTCGCAAATCCCACTCCCTGGCTCACGAAACTCGTGGCAAACAACTCAGACCACGACATCCTCTTAGTCGGAGACTTCAACAGCCCCAATGTGTCCTGGGGTTACCCAAACACTCAACACAATGGGCGCCTCCTCGCACAAGCAACCGCCCAAGCGTCGATGACACTGGCCAACGACACTACACAACCCACCCGCACCGGTAACAGTGTAGAGCGCGATACCAATCCCGACCTGGCCTTCCATCACGGCCCATCCGTTGCTGAATGGTCCGCATCTGACGAACAGCTAGGCAGCGATCATCGCCTCATCCACCTCACACTGATCACCAACGTCAAACAGAAAGTACGTCGCAATACTGCTCGCATCACAAACTGGGATCACTTTCGCTACCATACCTCCAACAACCCCCCACCGACGGACGCTGATCCCAGAGCCTGGGCCAACCATCTCCTCCAGGCACAGAACAAATGCACCAAAGAAGCCCAAACCACAACCGCTACCCCGTACATTGACAACCATCTTCTCAACCTATGGAAAACTAGGCGCAAATTGGTGAAAAAATGGAAGAAAACCAAGCACTCCAAACACCTAAAACACAAAATTCACAACATCACCAAAGAAGCCGAAACCTACGCAGAGCAACTCACCACCGAAAACTGGCTCCAACTTTGCGACTCCCTCAACGGCCAACTCGGCACCAAAAAAACGTGGCGCATCCTACGCACACTCCTCACACCCTCTCAACCTCGCGACCCCCTCACACGCATTATGCTCGCCAGCAAAATTACCTCGCACGACCTCGAGCAGCAACTCCGCGACACCTTCTTTCCACCACCAACCGACACATCACACACACCAGAACCTCCAACTCCTCCCCTCGACCCATGCGACATGGACGCCCCCTTCCCACTCAACGAACTAAAGCGGGCACTTGACTCTCTCAAACGAAACACATCACCTGGCGAAGATCAAATCACATATCAACTTCTCCGCAATCTCGACGACACACAACTCCAACAACTCCTAAACTACTTCAATAGTGTTTGGCAAACTGGCGACATACCAGCAGAATGGAAACACGCCATCATCACCATGATCCCCAAACCAAACAAAACCTCCGAAGTCAAGAACCTACGACCCATTTCTCTCACCTCGTGCACCGGCAAACTTCTTGAGAAGCTTGTTCTCACACGCCTCGAATGGCATCTCGAGCACGTGAAAGCCCTACCCTTTACACTCATTGGCTACCGCAAGAATATCTCCACACAAGACTGTCTCCTTCGGCTATACAATGACCTCCTCCAAGACAAAAGTACTACACAACTCCGCTCACTCCTAAGCCTGGACATCTACAAAGCCTTTGATAACGTCTCACATGACTCCATACTCAGTACCCTCAGAGAAACGCAGTGCGGCCCTCGAATGTATAACTACATCCGCAACTTTCTATCGAACCGCACGGCCGCCTTTAAAATTCCTGGACACATCTCCACACCTTTTCCGTTACACCAAGGAGTACCACAAGGCTCCATCCTCTCTCCCACCCTTTTCAATCTTGCCATGAGCAGACTTCCCGCACAACTCGACACCATCCCCCACCTCAAATTCTCCATTTACGCCGATGACGTTACCTTATGGACCAACACTGGCTCCCCCGGCCAGCAGGAAGAGACACTGCAACACGCTTGCGACACTGTCGCACGCTATGCCATTAGTATAGGTCTGGCCTGTTCTCCATCCAAATCGGAACTCCTCGTCATCTCCAACCGCAAAAACAATCCCGACAGGCAGCTGATCACCGTACACCTCGACGGCACTCCCACACCCCAACGCCCGCACATCAAGGTCTTAGGCCTCACCATCCAAAACAACGGTGCAAGCGATATCACCGTCTCCACCCTCTCCAAACAAATAAATCAAATCACACACTACCTCGGCCGCGTTTCCCGGCGCCACAGAGGCCTCAAAGAGAGCGACATGAGACGAGCCATCGAAGCTCTCATCTACTCTCTCGTACTCTACCATATCCCCTACACCCCACTCACTGCCCGTCAACTCAAACACCTCCAGACACAGCTCCGCAAACCCACCCGCCTTGCTCTCGGCGTGCCACAGTACGCTCCCCTAGAGCACTTACAACAGATGGACCCCTTCAACACACTCGAGGAGCGAGTCGACTTCCACCGACTGGGTCAACAGCAACGCCTAACCACGTCTCTGCAGGGTCGCTACATTCTCAATTCTCTCGGTTACGACACCCTGCACCTCCCTCCCATCGAAACAACCACACCTCCCTGGGATACCATACCCCAAATCACCGCACTCCCCATACCCAAACATATGAATCCCGACAGCAACCCGGAACGCCGCAAGCACAGAGCCAAACTCATATCCCAAAAACTCGCCACACTTCAGGCACAGCAGCACCTCATCTACTATACAGACGCCAGCTACGACCGTGGCACCAAACTCGGCCGCACCGCAATTCACTGTCCCCAGACCAGCACAACGCTTAGGCAAACATACACCGAAGCGCCTTCGGCAGACCTCCTGGAGACTCAGGCGCTGTGCTCCGCCATTCTCCATGCCATCGCCAACCCCCACGAGGGACACACCTCCATCACTGTCCTGACAGATTCCCAAAAAGCAGTTCGCACATTTCAGTACAACCAACTCCCCAACTACATGTCGCGTGAGCTTCGAGCCGCCCTCAACACCACCCCCACCCTTCGCTTCTACATCTACTGGATCCCTGGCCACGCTTTAATCCCAGGAAATGAACGAGCACATTCACTTTCCCGAGTCACTTCCACTCCGGGACCTGCGATTGACTGGCCTACGTCCTATGACCCCCAACTCCAGCGCAATGAATACCATCAACAGCGCTCTGACACACTCCGACAACTCCGCGAATCCAGACTCGCCCTCGTACCACCGCCTCCCACACTCTCTCGACAACAGGCCAGCACTATACGCCGAGCACAGACCCACACGCTATCCTCCCCACACTATACTCATCTCTTCCAAGGCGCTCAGGGCACAGCTAAGTGTCCCTTCTGCACTGGCTACCCAAACAACACGCACACCTACTGGCAATGCCTCCACGCACAACCATCCATCCGCTCTACACTTTCCAAGCTTCCTCCCGGGCTTCGGCCCACGACATGGAAAGAGCGGCTCTCTCCCACAAATCATCAAAGCGTGCCCGCCACCTTCGACGCCCTTCTTCACCACATCACAACCATCGAAGAGAAGCTGAGGGCATCGAAAGACGCCACCAATCCCCCATGATCCACCTATCCTCACCCTTCTGAATGGCGTCCTCCTGGACACCACTTTGACACCCTGAACTGAGGGTCAATAAAGATGTTTTCTCTCTCTCTCTCTTAAAATATATTTAAAACGTAACAAAAACGCTTCATTAGACAGACACGTTTCCGGAAAAGTTTTTAAAACTATTCGACAAATATAACGCAATCTGTAACTGTTACGGATGTAATGGTATCTATAATTGACTTCTTTTAGGCACCTATTCTTGTCCACAATGAGAGATTTATTGAAGATAAAAGTCGCCTTAGATATTCGCTTAAACTGCATCTCTATATATATTTGGGAAACCATTTTGATATTAAGGCTTAGTTTACTTCGTTTGCGTTCGCAGCTATCCAAATTTGAAATTTTCAGCAGCTACAGCATTATATACACATTTTATAACAGAAAATTTTAATATGTTTTCAAGCGAACACCCAACACAGAAAAACTCGAAAGGGTGCGAAATTTTTTTAGGTCTTTGACATGCCAATTCGCTCTCACTCCCTCTTTTCCTACCCCAAAACAAAAAGGCGACTTATAGTGAACTGGTTTATCCCACCTTAAAAGACGTTATCGCAGGATGTTTACCTTCAGTTATCTGTACTACATATGTGCGACTCATTATCATAACAGGTATATTTTCTTTCCATGAAAAAACATTACAAAAGGGCAAGGGGTTGCTCCAAGCCGATAGCAAGAGCTTCAAATCCTTCTCCTCCGTGCACGAAAGAAGCAACCAACGTTTCACAAATTGACTTATATTATGTTGAATAACAACTTCGTTTTTTTTGTTTTTTTTTTAGCGATTTTTTTTTACGTTTACTTAATTTCTGTAAATTTGTATGAAAGGATGACGGCACGACTTACCAGAATGCCGTATCGCTGGAAAAGCCATCGTCCAGCAACCTTGATGGCTCCACCGACTTTCGAAACGAGTCTGCCCATGTGCTTCAGCGTCGTGCCCGTTTCCGAGAACGCGTCGTCCACGCGGTCGTGGACGCTTCCGCCCTTCTTGGCAACGTCGCTCTTGCTGATCATCACTTCGCCGATGACTCTGGAGACCAGGCTTGCCACCACGTCGCTCATGGTCCGCTCGAAACCTTTTGGCTTCAAAGCTAGAATGATCCAGCTCATTTTTTTAGTTTCGACCTTCAAAAAATTTATGGGTGAAGGTAAAGGCCCGTTCACACTCTTGCGACTGCTTGCGACCTCTTAAACCTGGGTTCCTTAAAACTTCTTAAACCAGAGAACACACTGGCGCCATCTATTGGGAGGCAGTGTAAACTCGGCGGTCCGGCATATTTTTTTTTATTTCTCGCGCAATATCCTTTCTTTTTTGGCTCGAAAAACTTTTGTCAATGTTATAAACGAGCCTTTCTATGGGTATTACGCACATTTGACCTCGGAAATCCCGCAAAACCTTCGCTTTTGTGAAATGCAGTTCTAGGGTCACCGCATAGATGGCGCCACAATGTCAGTGTGTTCCCTCATTCTAGAAACATTTAAGAAGTTGTAAGAGACCTCGTCCCTCTCAGTCGTACTCGGTCGCAAGAGTGTGAACGGGCCTTAATGGTACAAGTGCTTTCAGCTTTGTCACTGACAACTAGTTAAACGCTAAACTATTGTGAATGATGCTTCGCTTCGTAATGGTTATATGGTTAGTACTAGCAGCTCTTGGAATATGAATAAAACACAAATAGAAGAAATATGCGATACGTTTGGTTTGCTTCTTTCTGTTTTGTTAGAGTACTATATATACCACAGACTCTTCTGTGCCCGCCATGAAATAACACACAGAGGCAGTTAATTTAAAGCATTAACGCCTTGTCAGTCATAACGTCTTGAATACGAAACGCTTCAACACGCATCAAATAAATTGCTCCTAATATTAATTTGGAAAATCTGCGTAGACATAATAACTGTATTAATCAATTAATTTTTTAGATGTTCAAACACTTGCATTAACCTGTTGATGGTCACAATTACCATCTCGTTTAGACATGAACATAGTTACAGTTGCGCCCACAGGGACAGGGGTACGTTTAGACATCCGCGGTGTTCGACGAGATGAATGAATGAATTACGTTTACTTGTGAAAATATCTGCGGTTGTGAAGTTAAAGGTAGCCTAAGTCGCTCGACAAAGCGTCACCTTCCTTTCCGGCACTACAGCAGTTTCCGTATACAAGATTAAATATAGGTAAACTTAAATGCAGTACGTCCATGTAGACAGCTAAAAGAAGACGACGTCAGAAGAAATCGGACATAAATCAAACACAAAGCAGGATCATAAAAGTAATATAGAGACAACACGTCAAAAAGACTGCGAGATACCAAATATGTAGTATACAGAGACAGTCAATGACGGCGAACAGAACAAGACTCTCATCAAACGTCGAACCTCCGAATAGAAATTGATCTCAAAAATGCGATGTGTGCGGGGCCATTGAGCAAGCAAACCGATCTGCTGATTTTTATTGCGCATGTATCGTTTCTTTTCTTTTTTTCTTTTTTTTTATGCGATAGTTTGTTTTGTTTTTTTCTTCTATAGCTATTTACTTTTTGCTGTTCGATGCGAGAACGTGACTGTTAATGACAAAAACCTTTAAGGCTAAATTTTAAGAGATAGGCGCATATGTGACGTATGCCACGGTGATAACGCGAAGCTAGAACACGTGGTTTTGAAGCGCATGGGACTTCGCCCTGCCCTCCCTAAAGGGGTAACGGATGTGGCGGGAGCGCTGGGTTCTGCTGCCAGGGATGAAAGAACAGAGGAACAAAAAATTATATTCACACAAAAATAGGTTAGAAAATATGTGGAGGTCTAGAAAACCGTTATAATGCACGGAATTGATGGGGGAAAGGCTGTAACTCTACACATAATTTATAGCAAAGTGTAAAGGGAAGGGGTGTAAAGGTTTCTAGACTAGGTGGTGCAAGCTACCGCCTGGCACAAAGGGTGCAGCCAATACCATCCACTCATTTATTCATCCGATGATAAAATATATACGCTTGCAGGAAGTGTTGTGGTAGTTTTCACAATTCCTCATATAAAAAAGGTCGTCTTCACAACGCCTCGCAAGATAACAGTGTTTGGCTAGGGACAGAGAAGCAAAGGGGGCTCGTTTTGCTACAACGAAAGGCTGAGGGAGGGAACGAGTTTCGTTTCCTTCCTTAGCCAAGTGCGCAAAGTGTGTCCCTTGCAGACGTGCTTTATCAAACAATATATTTTGCCAACTCCGCTCACAAGTCTTTCACATTAAGGACGCACTAAACAACTTAAAACACGGAGTATAGGAGCATTGCCAGTGTGTTGTGCGATCAATTAGCGTTTACTGACATCGCGTTTTGGTGTTTGTCTTCTTTCATGACTTAACATCTTAAACTAACCATATTTGGAGTGGCAAAATCGGGGCACACGCTCGGTATATATCTAGGTACGTTGCCTTGACTCATTTAGACCTGCGCAGGTCTAAATAAGTCAACGTTTATTACATTTATGGGACAATACTCTTTCACATTGTAATTACATGGTCGAATTATAAGAGTATAAAGATTTTCATGTTACTTACTTTGGATGGTAGTATTGCTTGGTTCACTGTAAATGTAAAACATATTTTATAGCACTTTTCTGTTTTTTAAATATAAAAGCGCAAATCATACATGCAAGGAAAGTTGAAAATTTCTTTACTCACGCAGCATCTGTAGTTACTTCTGTGTGAAACAGCGTAGGAAAATAAAAAGATGTGTAAAAGGCTTTCCAATCTCGTTGAAGGCATAACATAATTCCATATTTTTAAAGATTGTCACTAAATCACTTCGTGAACGGCATTATAAATGATCAAAATTCTCAATTGTGATCACTACTCTAGCCAAAAAAGATAAGTTAGCATTTTTAGCATTTTCGGACTAAATGCATTCGATTTGCTCTTTAAAGATCTGTGACCCCTTTCTTGTCACTAGCTGATCTTTGAACCTTTACATTTATTATAAACATGAGGTAAATGAAACGCCTGTCTACTTACCAGCACAGACTGCTACTGAAAACACTAATAATACAATTAGCTTGTACATCTTGTTCCTGCAAAACAATATAAAATTAAAAAATTAGAATGTTTTATACACCGTTAAGACTGCTTTAAAAATTACGGCTCTTAAACATTACTACGTTTTCATCATGATTGCCTGTACAACACGACCCGATCTTTCTTAAGAGTTTTTACACAGTTAGCCGGAATTATTTAATCCGCAGTCTAGAACGTAAAACGTAAATCAATTAAGTCTATCAGTTAATAAATAATATTTCCTGCATAAGTGTATACAGCTTGTGCGTAGAGTATTTCAGACAATATATATATATATATATATATATATATATATATATATGAACGAATATGTGCAGATGAATGAACCATACTTAACCCGATGAATCAAAGAATCAAAGTTTTCAGGAACCCGCCGAAAGCCAAAAATTGGCGGAGCCAGGATCTGAACTCTGGGCCTCCCAATGTCCGGTCGGGTGTGCCAACCTCTACACCACTCCACCTTGGCTTTCTGGCGTTTCCTACCTGTCTTATTAATGCACAAGAAACAAAATGTATCCAATCGGAGGTGTTCTGGAAACACACGCCGCCGCGTGGAACGCGGTACGACGCTTAGTGTCACGTGGTACGTGCTCGTTTGTGCTCCAGAAATCCTCCCACTGTTTGTCTCGCCCCGTGTACATGTAGTATTCTTTGTTTATGAGCTTTAGAGACACGGTATCATCATAATCTGCGAGAATCAAGAGCCACATTATTGAGTATACAACACGGGCACTTCACACCATCGTACGTGGTCTCCGAGGAGGATATGAACGAATATGTGCAGATGAATGAACCATACTTAATCCAATGAATCAAAGTTTTCAGAAACCCGCCGAAAGCCAAAAATTGGTGGAGCCAGGATTTGAACTATATATATATATATATATATATAGACATATCTTCACTTGAAAAAATAGCCTATTCATTCGTGTCCTATTTGATCATCATTCAAGAAATATTTTCACAGTCATATAAAATGCCTGGCCAACGTTTACCTTTTTCCCTCTTAAAATCTCACGGGAAGGTTTCCTGTAGCTGCCTGTTCTGTAGAAAAGTGCTAAATGCAAAGTATGTTATTCAGATTTACATCCAGCAGATCAACTAGATTAACGAATACGACACCGTTCAAATTTTAAAACGTTAATTTCTAAAATAAACGAGACGATTGATGCTGTGCTATATCTTTAGTACGTACATTTCTCCTGATTAACTCCGCTTTTAGAAAAATTTCAAATGAACAGATTGGCCACTTCACCAATACCAAAGAGGATCATTCGCTCACCTGTGAATTAGACGCCTACCACAAGCAATTGTCGTAACAAAGTGAGAGCCTGTCCCAAGTATTTTTCATCCAGGTGTTGCGGTTCACAAGATCACAATTTTTTATCTTGATTTCACGCGACGTAGACTAGGACTGTGTGTATAGATGATAACCATTTCTACGTCATATGCAATATCATTTAACAAGGTTATCACCTGAGAACACCACTGCACTGTGAAATATAAAAAATGTAGCCAATCACGCTGATGTTTATGAACTCATGAAACGAAAAAGTATCATCACGTGCGGCACTCTTACATCTTGATCTTGTCTTAATGTAGGTATTCCTTCATCTACTTTATAACAAGCGGGAATGTTACAAGATTGTGGAAAATTTTAAACTTAATTATTTATAACAGTACAGAACAGAAAAAATACTATTTTACAGCATAAGCGCTTTTGTGACGCGTCACAAACGGAAATGAGCGTAGATTGCTTTCAAATATTTATATCGTTGTGTTTTGACATTAAATGTTGCAGCGACGAAATGGGGTAAAGAGGCGGCTGTCAAAGAAATCTTAGCCTTGGAGTTGTCAAGACTTGAAAAATCGTCAAAAGATAAAGGCACATCGAGCATTTCATAAACTGTAGAAATGGTTGTAAAAAAATGAATTTGCTTACTGTTTATTCAAACGTGAAAGGCGGAACAGAAGTATTTGAGTAGTAACTTCTCCTACAACGTCAAAATTAATTGGAGTAGCACATGCTTCAAAGTTTCACACAGACTGCAAATGTTTTAGTCGGGAAACTGCAAATCGAGTACTAGAGGCGCCTAGCGTGTTTGAAAAACGATTGAATAAACATCGCCTTTGTTATGAGGTTATAAGCTTCAGGTGCGAACCAAAATCTTGTTCCGATTTTTGATTTATCGTAGCGTAATTATGTTCTTAAAAGAAATGCTGTCTAGCAAAACTACGAAGTGCATATATTTGGTCGTTTGCGCCGCTAAATTAAGTCGGGACACGTTTCATGCCGAACGACATTAACCAATATTTTTTAATGTTCTTTTTTTATCTAGAACGCAAACTAAAGGACTTGGAAATAAAAGGTATCCCTTTCAGCCCTAACGAAAATATTCGTGATATGGTGAAACAAGTGTCTGAAGCACTGTCAGGTCCTCTAGAGCTGCCAGACGTCGACACTTGTCACAGGGTGCGTACTAAAAAACCCCGGCCAGCAGCATATCGTAGTGCAGTTCACCACACGCCAAAAAGAGGCGCAGTGTTCTATGCTGCTAAAAAGAAACGATTAACTTCCACGATGATCGATATTCTCGGTCAACCGTCTCCAATATTTGCAAATGAACATCTCACTCAGTATGTTATACAGGATGCTCTTGAGTGAAGCGATCAAGGCAAAAAAGAACAAGAACTGCAAATTTTTATGGAGAAAGAATGGAAAGGTGTACGCTAGAAAAGCAGAAAACTATAGGATTATAGATATGAAAACTGTATCAGACATTGCACGAATTACTTAGGACGCCATGGCAGACGTAGATTTCAACTTTCCTGAACCAGAAGTACCCTGTGGCTATTACAACACAGACACCTTTAACAAACTTCATATTGTTGATAAAATTGGCATTTCCACTTTTCATATGAATACAATAAGTTTGCAAAATAAAAAAGACGATATCGAGAAAATTTTGACGCCCCTAAAATTTAGATCGATGTACTAATGTATCCAGAAACATGGAACTCAGCCAAATCATTACCAGTGCAATTCACCAGCTATAGATGCCTTCATATCGATCGAGATAACAAACCCGGCGGTGGTGCTGCTATCTGTCACAAGACAGCGCTACAAATGACCGAAATTGATAAATGCTCTGTATCTACTGCTGACATTGAGTGTCTTGCTGCGCAACACCGTGACAAATGCTTCGTAATGGTATGTCCCCCCCCCTCCCCCACCGGAAAATTTCCGAAATTCTGTTCCAATCTTGAAAGCATGCTCACATTAATTCTGCATCAAAACACCAAAAAATAATAATGGAACACATCAATATTGATTTACTCTCCGACACTAGCAATCAACTTCAACTTAACAATATAGTGGAGTCCTATGGGTGCAAGAACTTGGTAAGTGTTCCAAAAAGAGTAGCGTTACAGAGCAGCACGCTTATTGATGTTTGCAGTACAAATATTAACCAATCGCACGCTGTGACTTTAGTATTCTTTGCCGATATCAGCGATCATTTCCCCTTATTTTGGTTTCTATAAAGTTTTGGAAGTGGTCCTAATTTACCTCAACCAGGAACTAATTTTTTTCAGAAGATCAATCAACATAGCATAGAGAGCATTTCACAAAATGGTCTCTGATACTAACTGGGACAGTGTGATGACTAGTCGCGACGTTGATAAATCCTATTTCGCTTTCTTGACAGTTCTTAAGAAGTGCTATGACGCAGTTTTTGCTCTACAACAATTTAGAACACGGCGATAGAAGCGTAGAAAACCATGGAAATCGAAATAATTGTTGCAACGCGTCAACAAGAAGAACAGACTGTTCGAAAAGGTCCAAAAATCTAGGGATACCTGCGTACTACTAGAATATAAGCAATTTAGAAATGCACAGAACCGTGACATAACAAAAACTAAATCGTATTATCACGTTTACAAGTTTAATAACATTCAATATGATCCTAAACGTACCTGTTGTGCTTTAAACTCTATCATCAAGTCCAATTCAAACCATACGCCCCCTAATAAACTGCAGATTGGGTCAGGTGTTTTCAGTGGACGTGACATGGCAAATGCGCAAAAATGATGATTTTATAAACGTTGGTGCATACAATCTCCCGAATACCACGTCATCGAGCAATTTTACACGAGCCCACCTAGAACATACTATTATGCTGAATCCTGTCACTTCTTTTGAGGTTAAGGCTGTCATAAATCACTGAAACATAAAAGCGCTTGCGGGGATGATATCATAAAAGCCGAACCGATCAAATACGTATCTAACAATATAACTGAGCCCTTGCAACATATCATGAATCTTATAATTGAAACAGGTAGTTTCCCACACGCCTTAAAAACTGCGAGAGTACCTGTCATTCATAAACATTGCGATAAAAAGGATATTAGCAATTACCGTCCAATCTCCGTACTATCAAAGGTTTTTGAAAAATTATTAAACAGTCGAATTCAAGTGCTCCTAATAAAATTCTCAGTTCTATCTACAGCTCACTACGGATTTCAAAAGGGTAAATCAACAGAAGATGCCTTGTTACATGTAAAAGATAAAATTTTAAATAACGTTGAAAATAAACTTCTTACTGTTGGCATATACGTAGATTTTCAAAAAACATTTGACAGTATCAATCATGACATCCTACTACAAACATTTCCCGGCTATGGCATTGGGGGTAAAGCATTGGATTTAATAACGAGTTTGCTACAAAATCACGAGCAGTTCGTACAAATCAATGACATCCATTCTGATCGTAAGACCGTTAAATATCGGGTTCCTCAGGGATCAGTATTAGGACCTCTACTTTTTATAATCTATTTCAGTCGTGGCCAAGCTGACCCGGCCTAAGAGCAGCAAACAAAGCCACGAAAGTTTCAAGAGCCGCGGGTAGGGGGGGGGGGGGGGGGGGGCAAACTTTTGTTCAGAGCAATATACGAAACTCGAACTACTTTCGAACGATACGAGTCAAAAGCAGTCCAATTGTTCGTAAGGTAGCAGTAGACTACCAAACCGTAACCTCTCTTTCCATTAAAAAAGCGTTCCATTTTTCTGGGGGAAGTGCTAGAGCGGCCAGGAGGGAGGCGGGGAAGTGGGATAGGGGGGGGGGGGAGGGGAGGGGGTGGTAGCGGAGGGAGCCGCGAGCCTCACTTTAACAGGCGAAGAGCCGCAGCTTGGCCACCCGTGATCTATTTAGACGACATTGCAAACATCGCAGTTTCTCCAAACTTAGTCATGTATGCTGATGATACTAGTCTTTTTTTCTGGTACCTCCGTAGATGAAATAGAACAAGAAGCTGATAACTACCTACGAGATTTAAACAGGTGGCTCGACATAAATATAATAAAATTAAATGCTACAAAAACAAAGTATATGTTATTTGCGCCAAAAAAAACAAAATCAACAAACTGCCATGTTTGACAATAAATGACTGTATTATAGACCGTATAACTGACTGAAAATTCCTAGGGGTATGGTTTAGTGACAAACCGTCCTGGACAACACACACTGAGCATATAAAAAGTAACATCTCTAGAAAAATAGGAATAATTTATAAGACAAAAGACTTCTTACCGACATGGTTGATGGTACAAATATACTCATACTCTTTTATCAAAAACTTCACTACTTTTACTAGTTTGGGGCACCACGGTTAAAACCAACTATAAGGGACTTATAAGTTAAAAAAACGTATGTTAAGAATAATGGTCAAATCGAATCACGGTAGTGAAGCCGAAAGCCTATTTGACACATTAAATATCCTTCCACTAACTAAGCTTTACCATTATAAGCTTGGGCAGCTTATTCATAGAAATGGAGTAAGCGGCTTTGACCTCATTCCTGCAAATTTGCCTGAATATAATTTAAAGACAATGGGGACATAAAAACTACTATCTATTAGGACTAACTACGGAAAAGAAAAGATCAATTTTCAGGTTCCCCAGCTCCTAAATGCAGTCGGCAATAATTTCATAATTAGTGCAAACCAAACTACATTTAAAAAAGATCTACGCTCCCTTTTGATTGCCAATGAGTGTATAAATCTATAGATATGTTGCAATACATTTTTAAATATTTTAAGCAGCATTTTTGTGCATCCACTTTTATTACGAATATTGTATACCTTGTAATCACGTTTATGTTTAGATTTTATTGTGTCGACAATGCCAGATTACTATTTTTATATGTGCCTGGAATTTATGAATGTGTAATCTAGCTTCTTCACTTTTATGATTTTTACCGAAAGCGCTTTTTTCATTTTTATCATTTTGTTTTTGCTTGATGTCTTATATTATTTTTTAATCT